CGAATACATCGCTGTGACTGAAGCAATCAAGGAAGCTATGTGGCTAAAGGGCATGACTGAAGAGCTTGGGATACATCAGAAGGTGATAACTGTGTTTTGCGACAACCAAAGCACCATTCACCTTACCATAAATCAGGTATTTCATGAAAGATCTAAGCATATAGATATAAAACTTCATTTTGTGAGGGATGTCGTTGCCAAGGGTTCAATAGTAGTGAAGAAGATACCTACTGAAGAAAATCCTGCTGATATGCTCACCAAGGTGCTACCGACAACTAAGTTCAGACACTGTCTAGACTTAGTAAACTTCACCAAGGGCTGAGGCCCTCTCAGGGGCCAGGTGGAGGGAATCTTTACTTCGAAGCTTCTCAATTGAGGGTCAAGGTGGAGAATTGTTATTTTTGACCCCCAATTAATGAACTAAGGTAAAATGACACTTTTGTAATGTGGTACCGCTCACCTACCACATCTGACCTATCGTTCACCTACCATTCACCTACCGCTCACCTACCTCCCACCTACCACTCTCTTGCTTCTATAAATAGAGAGGGTGTGAGACTTAGGAGAGCAAGGGAGAAGAGATCTTAAGCTACCACAAAGGAGGAGAGAATAGCTATAGAGTTAGAGGAGGAGAGCATCTTGAGGCCTTGTATCAAGGTGTCGCTTGAGAGGGAGGCCATAGAAGGAAGACGAGGGCTCATCTCTATGTATAAGCTATGTATTCTCCATTTCTTTTGCCTTAGTGAAATATTTGATTGATTCCCTCCCGTGGACGTAGATCCAGTTGGATTGAACCGCGTAAACGATCTGTGTTTGCTTGTGTTCTTTCTCGTCTCATTTCTATGCCAGGAAGTACATATCTCACAACAGCTATATAGTAGGAGCCACCTCTTGCATCTATAGGAGCTACCTGTAGAATCTTATTTGCTTGGTGGATGATTTTGAAGAAAGAACACTAATGAGAACGTGAGTTTCTTAAATGGAGGAGGTTGTGAAATTCCTCGAGTATAATGAAGTTGAACCCTTAAATATTGAAACATCTTTTGGTATAGAAGTTGGATTTTCATCTGAAACTCCAAAGTTAAGTATGCTTTTATAGGAGCACTCTTTGGGGGTGTTTGGTAACATCTTTAAATAGGATTTATTATCGGATTTATAAAATCCAACCAAACATAAACACACAAAAAATGCAAGTGTTCACGGATTTATGAATTTTTTGATTTAACAGCCAAATTTTTGCCTTTAATTCGACATAAATTCAGATTTACTAAATCCACGAGGATGGATTTATCGGATAAATGATTTTCAGATTTTCTAAATTCTGCCAATGCTAAATCCTACTTGTAGTCAAACACTCCCTTAAGCCTGTTTGGTAACGGCTTTATTGTCGGACTTAAGCTAGATTTAGCTTAAATCTTGTCAAACTCTCTTATAACTTTAAATTTCAAGGTTTAGTAAATCTGATTTCTCCCTTTTTTTCCCTTAAATTTTGAATTCACTAAATCCCGTCGTTGGTTGAATTTAACTTAAATCTGCAAGTTGCATATATTTATTGATTTTCCCATTGAGGCATCTCCACCAAGCTTCAACACTACCCCGCTAGTTTCTTACCCGACGAGGGTTTTGCATTGGTTAGAGGCAAAGGTTTTGGATGCCACGATCTTGTCGTTGCATTTGTCAGTGAGCTCCCCATCACCACCTCCAACGCTTATCTAGCCAACTTCATGATTTCTTGAGCTCGGCGAGAAGAAGATTGGGCGGTGAAGGTAAATAGGCCTCAATTTTATTTTTAAATTAATTTACTAATTAATTTTAAACAATCAAGAATATTTTAAGTTAATTATATTAATAAATGTGATTTAATTTTATTTTCTAATTATCCATATGTTTAATTCAATATATGCATTCTCTATTAATGGTTAATTTTTTATAAAGTATTAATTAGTTTAATAAACATTAATTAATGAATATGATAGTATTAGTTGTTAATTGATTAGTTTAGAAAAATTATGATTGACAATGATTATTTTGATGGATAAATGATTAATTATTTGGTAGTTATTGATTATTTGATGATTATCTATGCTTAATTATGATATTATTTACGCTGATTATAATTAAATTATATTAATTAATGAATAATAATTAATTAATTAATGTGTAATTACTTTAAGGCAATTCAAATTATCAATTAGTTAACTTAATAAGTTATTAATTAATATTGACTATAACTAAAAGTAATCAACACTTAATATAAATTGAACTAATTGGCTTAAATATTGAAAGAAGTTGTCAAATAGTATAATAGAGTTTAACCGGAGTTAGCATATGTCATCTTTGGATTTACTAAATCAAAATTTATAAGACTTATTAAATCCACTCAAATTAAATCCTAGAAATTGCCAAATAGCCCTTTATCTCTTGGGAAGTTGCACCAATGGGATCAGACCGTGTTGCCAATGGGCCAAAGCAGACAATATCTCAATAGATGGATGATAGTTCAGGCTGTTACATTGAGCATTTACATGAGCTGAGTGAGGCATAAAATGAAGGATTGTATCACTTATAAGCTCTGGATGATATTTTTAAGTGCATGTAGTGATAATCATTAACAGTGGAAATTAATGAATGTTCAAAGTCATACTATTTCCATGTTCAAAGGTCTTGATAAGTAGATTTTCTTAGATAAGCATACTAAAGAACTTGTCTTTATAGCATGGAGCAACGATCATCTATCTATTTGACCTCACATTGTATTGCCTAAGCTCCCAAGCATAGCTCTTGGTCGCTTTTAGCATCACTATTATGATGGTTTTCTTTGTCATGCTCATAGTCTCATTTTCAAAATCTCATACATGTTAACTGTATTCATTTCTTTCCTGCTATTTAAGACGCAAAATCCAAATGTAGGTTTTCCTCTGCATTCATTTCTGTTATAAAACTATGCCCATAATCTTAATTTGTGTTTCAGTAGAATACTTGTGATTATTGAATCTATTTGTACTTTCAAATATTTTTTTTGCAAGTAGCATTTGTTTTTAACTTTCTTCATTATCTAAACCGCTTATCACGGAAAAAAGCATCATAGTTGGGGAGTGAGAAAATAAAACTCTATTAAAGTTACACATATAAACCTTGAACATCAATGTGCACAATTTTGTCGTAATAAGCATCTTCCTATATTTTATTTCCAAAATGTCAGCCTGGAGCAATAATTTAGCTGCTTCTATTGTGTTTTGGAGACCTTGTATTCAAATCACGAAAACAACCTCTCTTTAATATTCGGGTAAGACTGAACACTTGAATTTGCTATGTCTGCATTGGCATGGATAGAAACATATAATCCCATGTAACTGGGAAAAATAAAGTTTTACATATCCAAATGGAACCCGCCTGATGGCTTCTTAATTTATTTTAAAGAGAGATACAGATAGCTAAAAAGCTCAGTGACTGGATTCAACAGAAGCAAAAAGTCTGAAATATCAGGCAAAGAAGTTCAGACCAAGGCCTTAAAAAAAGGCATCTCTGCTTGTTCTTCTTTAGTATATTTTCAACAGCTAGCCTCCCACTATAATTTTTTGAGTGAAATAACTTCGTAATTTGAACTTTCTCCTTTCTAAAACAAATTGGAATTATGGACTCATGGGATTTTAACTTGAAAATAGGCTTTTGTGTCCTCGATGATCTAGTCGTAAATACTAAGCCAGAAAGCATTTGCCTTCAAAATTATATAATTTTTTTATGTGTGCCTTCATTTCAAACGTGTTTTTCATGCAGCAAATGGTCGTCCAACTTAAGCTTACCAAATCATTGGACTCAAAACAGGTTCCACGTTACTCTACTACAGTTCTGCAAATTTCACCAGATCCGACCGAGGTACCCTATGCATCAATTAAGTTAGGAAGGTACTTTGCTAGAATTTGTGAATGTTTTACTTGTTCAATTTGTAGAAGTAGATGCCAATACGATCTGACTCTAACAGCTAGCTTAAGGTTTAGGCTACTCTCGAGCCGGAGAGGTACAATTTATTTTACCATAGAGGTTGGGTTTGATATACTAATGGTTGAAAATAATTCAATAAATAATTATTAATATTTCATGTATCTATTTTTTAATTATTCATTTTGGGACTGAATTCAAATGCCAGAACATTTATTAACAAGTTTTCCTCTCATGTTAGAGTTCGTCATGCAGATCATCACTCTTCTAATATAGTAAAGCTTCCAATAAACCAAGTCAAGAGTCACAAAACCAAAGAGCTCACTCCGCACCTTCACCTTGAATTGTTAGGAAATATTTCAACACAATTTTTTTCTGTTATGTGTGATATAGGATTAAACTAAATTTTCACCTGCCTTAAAACTTATAATTTGAAAAATTTTAAATACTTGATTTATTGTGCTTTCAAGTATTATTTCGCCATCAAATCATGTATCATATTAAGATCGTATCAGAACACCTATTTTTGGTGATGATATCTTGCTCGGGTCTTCTTTTCTTTCTATTACTTTTGATATGAGATTCTGTTTTTTTTATTATTATTTTTGAATTGTTAATAAATCAGTATACGTGATTATCTCTTGACTTTGGATAAATGACCCTTCCTCTGAACCATTGGGCCATGAATTCTTACACTTTGACAAACTTTCTTGATTTTTTCTATTAAAGCATAAGATTTGACAGCATTTCATTTTTACCTCATCTGATTTCGGTCCTCATGCATTATTTTTTTTTATTATTCTATAGACCAAAGTGATGGATGTTATAGAACTAGCAAATATTCGGGTGGAATTTAAAGAAAATATAGAAGTGCTGAGTTGAATGTATTACAAATGTTTTTCATATGTGATATTTTAAATATAATAACATTGATGAATGACTTATTCTAGAACCTCTAGCTCTCATTTTGGATTTGATTTATGACTTACTGGATAAGTACAATTTCACATGTTTAACAATAGGGAAAGCTTTTAGATGTTTAAAAGCTAAAATAGGGACCCTTAGTTCAATTCACTGAAATAAAAAATGATTACCATTAAAAAGCATAAAATTCGAAAATATTGGTCACTGCTATATCGTAAACAGACATGAATTATAAAAAACTACGTACATCACACGACACATCCAAACACACATTGAAAATAAAACTTAAGGTAAATTTATACTATTATCTCTATGCATCTAGCAAAGCAACAATTGATGGTGAATAGGGCTGTCAAAAAAAGCTCGTTGTTTGTGAACAACTCGTGTTCTATTCGTTCGTTTAGCAAAGGAGCGAAGCACGAACAAATTTTTTGAGCTCGATTTATAAACGAGCCGAACACGAACAAAAGTTTATTTGTTTGTATTTGGCTCGAATTGGCTCGAATTAATTAAATAGTAAATACATAAATTATAATTTATTTATATATTGTATTTTATAAGTAATCTTAAATAAAAAATAAATTATTATATATTAGATATGTAAATACAGAAGTATTAGGTGGTATGTATGAAAATGTCAAAAAAAAAAATTCTCAAATCTTCTACCACCACCCAAGCCTACTAGCCATGGGCTATCTCGTAAATAATATATATATATATATACACACACACTAGCCGAACATGAGAGAGCCGAGGCTCAGCTCCTGTTCGCCTCGTTTATATTTCGAGCTCAAAAATGGTGTTAGTGTTTGGCTCGTTTGCAAGCCGAACACGAGCTGTTTACTAACAAAGAGTCGTAAAATGTTAAGTTGTTTTGACAACCCTAATCACGTAGCCGTAAGATTTAAAAATTATTGTTTATATTAAAACATCATTTGAATCTAATTTAATATTTTTTATTATATTTTATTAATTAATACTTTTAATTGATTATAAATCTTTTTGTAGCTTTGTAGCTTTGTAGTCAATTAATTTTTTTAAAAATATTACTCATCAATATACATATATATTTTTTCTTGTGACTTTGTGTGTGATTGATGAAGTATTTTGAGCCAAAACGAGCCGAACACGAACAAATAAATTTTTGTTGGTGTGCGGCTCATTAACTTAACGAACGAGCCGAACACGAGCTTCTATTCTAAACAAATCGAACACGAGCTGTTCGCGAACAACGAGCCATTTTGACAGCCCTATATATATATATATATATATTATATAACATGTGAAAAGATAAGAATTGTGTAGTCCCGCTCCCTATATGAGTAAACGCTCGTGGCCCCGCTTCCCATTAGCAGCTGAAGGCGCTACTTTAGTCTCACATTGCCCAATTCTAAAAAAAACCTTCACCTATTCTCTATAAATAATGAATCTCTCTTTCAAGCAAATCATTTTTACCCCCATAGCTTTACTCGCCCCACCAGGCTCTTATGATATGATGGTTTTAAAATAAAAATTAAGTTGGATAATTTAAGTATATTATAAGATTTATTTTATTTTATAAAATAATTATTTCGAGCCGAGCCGAACACGAGCATAATTCAAAAAAAAAAAAAAAAAATTGAGCCAACACGAACACGTAATTCACGAGTCATTTTGAACACAAGTTGAACACAAACAAAAATAAAATTCAAACGAGCCGAACACGAACAAGCTTAAGCCTCCATAAGTTCGGTTTGTTTACACCCCTAATGGTGAAACAAAATGCCATTTATATGCCTTTAATTTGGCATTTGATCTTACGAAGGATATTTGAGATTTTTGAAAGGTATTTGCTAAGCACCATACTCATTTCTTTCTTTCCAACTTTGCTGAACAAGGCTGTGCAAAAATGGTAGGTTTTGAATATGTTGGTCCTTGAATCATGGCCACAAATTCCAACTTTTCAGCTAAGAAGGACCTTGTAGGAAGGGGCTCCCCAAGAGGTAGACATTTCTTGATTAAATCATGAGTGAAAAAACCATTTAAGGACAAAAGTAAAAACTTTCATTTTGAGTATTGCAAAGGGCATGATTCTTTATTTCAATAAGGTTGCCGTTGCTTTATGTCCTGCATTAAGATTTAGCCATCCAAAAAGAGAGAATATAGAAGAATACTTTGTTTTTTTGCAATAAATTGTAAAGCCATTTGATGTTTGACAAATATAAATAGGAGGCGTTGAGAAGGGTTAGGATTTCGGAATGCACTTTATAATATTCTTGTGAAAATCAATCTAATCTCTTATAATGAGCACAAGAGATATAATATATATTGAAGTAAGACAAAGTGCTATGTATATCTATATACTATGAACAGCATAATATACAAACATATACATGAATAAGATGATATTGTGTATAAATGTGCCAAGTTAGGATAGTATTAATAAGTTGAGTGATCAAGCTAAACACATCTACAGAATATATATGATGTTTATACAGAAGGAAATTATAATGTCGCGAGAAAGCATTAAATAATATATATTATAAGTGTAATGATGATTCTTTCATATAAGCATGTGCACATTAAATGTATGAATTACTGAGTAAACATGCAATTCATTAATTATGTAAACAATGAAGATAGTGGTAATGTACAGTGATTAGTGGATTATAATAATATATACTATATAAATAGTTGTCAAAATAATTTTACAACTTTAATATATGATTTTATAACTATTCAATCTTCACAAATATGTAAATGTAGTTCAGCGCAATGTAAGGTAACTTAAGTTAGAAAGCAAATGGACACTAATATTTACCTATTTTGGTTCAGATAGACCTAAGCACCCCAAAACTTTCTATTCCAGTATCAATCGCTCATTCTCTCATCACTAGTTAAGAAATCACGCATTCCTCTATAGGGGAAGAGTACACTCATCTTTATTGTGGATAACGGCACCCCTCTAAATTAACATTTCACAAATCTAGGAATCAAATTTTCTAAGATTGGTTGTGATTAGGCTATATCACCAATACTTGCAATACACTTCAATCTTCATGCAAAATTATTGCAACATATAAAATAAAATCAGCTGTAAAATATTCTTGAGCGAAAGAGACATCAACTTAAGTTGGAGAATTAAAGAGTTATTTTTTTTAATTTAATTTGGATGAAACTTTGAATCCATTCTGAGATGACAAAATTTTAAACACAAGCTTTTTTCATTAATTTTCCCTTTGATTTTGAGTGAGTGATCATTATTTAAGTCATTAGACATAAGTTATATAGGAGATGATTGAAGATAAAAATCAACCCATAATGTCAAAATTGGGGCTCTACAGATGAGAAAAATATCCTAACATTAAAAACTAAGTCATTCAATCAGAATTTTTAAATTGATGGAAGATTTCATTTTCACTATAATAATATAATATAATAATTTTAAATGCAAAATATTTTCAAATTGATGGAAGATTTTATTTTCACCATAATAATATAATATAATAATTTTAAATGCAAAATATATCAAACCAAAGTGTCTTGGCTCAGGCTGTGTTCTCCTTGATTTCTATGGTATTTATTTCGGGTTTGAGACATGAACGACATGCAAATGCAATATTAGGGAATTTTTAAGCTGCTAGTAGGGGCTTAAATTTGTAACTAGTATTTTTGCCCATTTTTTTTAAATAAATATATGAGGCTTGTTTCCATCCTTGAAAAAATGTAAAATTTATGTTACCATATATAAAATCTTATGTAAGTTGTAAAGAACTCAATGAAATTGAAAAAATAAAATTTAAGCTCACTTTATTTCAAGGGAATAGCATTTATAATGAATTAGTAATTCTAATCAATTTATAATTGATATGAAGTTTGTATTTAACAAATGAAAATGATAACCTGTTAACAAATTTAAACTTCATTGATGATGTGTCTGTATTAGTTGCATATTAATTTGAGCTACTTTATGTTTTTTTAAACATATAAGACTAAAAGGTTAAACAAATGGTTGATGAGTAATTTGTAAAGAATTCTTTTTTACATTTATGACTAAAAATTCAGCGTGACTAAAATTTTATTTGCTTTTATGATGGTTATGATTTTGAAAAATTAAAGGAATAAATAAGTCAAATTGTGCCTGTAAAATTAATTTTTGGCCTACTTATGTTTATAAAATGGGACATGGTTAATATTTTGTTACTCCTTTTAAATAAAGATTGATTGAAACTTGATGTGATATTTTACGTGTGTTTTCTAACATCTTTCTATATCAAAATCATATATTTTACATTTCTCGGTTGAAATATACTTCTCAAGCATCCCGTTGAATCTCATACTCTCATACATGTTATATATATATATATATATAGAAACAGTTGTTTAACGCTCCCTGCCCATCAAACAGTATTTAACACTTTTTTGGGCCATTTACGCTATTTGCAGTCAGTACTGCACACAGTCAGCAACTGTTCATTGTACGGGTCTCTATTTCTGTGGATGAACAGTTTCTTCACTGTCATCACTTATAAGGTATAGTTCCCATGTGGAACACTATAAAGGCTATAATTAAGTGGGCAAAATCCTATTGAGAATTGCAGAAATACTGTTCTGGAAATAGATGCATGGAACAAATCTTAATAGTATTTTCATGCACGATTGATGTTTTCTCCTGTATATATGTGGTAGTTATTATCTGGCATTCCCGTTCTAAGGATTTAAAAAAGCAAAAAGGGACCAAAAACCTTTCGGTTGCTTGTAACTCTATAGTTGGTTTACTATTTTTTATTCATTCTCTATAGTTGATTTCATGGGAGTATCATGTTTCTGCTTCCTTCTTTAAAGCCTACCTTAATATCTTAGAAAGGCTGGAGAGAGAGAGAGAAAGGAAGAGACCAGAAATAGTTTAGCCATTTATAACGCTATAGTTGGTTTCCTTTTTTTGTTCATTCTCTATAGTTGATTTCATGGGGGTATAATGTTTATGCTCTCTTAGCTCTATAGTTGGTTTCCTATTTTTTGTTCATTCTCTATAGTTGATTTCATGGGAGTATAGTATTTATGCTTTTCTTTAAAACCTACCTTAATTCTTTAGAAAAGGGCCAGAGAGATAGAGATAGGAAGAGAGACAGAGAGAGGAAAAAAAAAAACCGTTGCAGATATATTATTGTACTTGTCAGCAAGCATTATTATTTGATTCAAAAAATATATTCGGTGTATTTATTTCAATGTCCACTTAATAAAAATAATTTATTGTATATATATATATATATATATATATAACGCCAGCAAATAAATAACTGTCATGTCAATAATATAACATTATAAAACGGATATTCTGAGTTTTTTTTTATTTAGTTTTACAATATATTTTAATAGGGAATCTTATGAATTTGATGTAAATTATCAGATAATAAGTATTTACTTTTATTTTTGGAGTATGTAGTATGTTGCATATCTGAAACAGAGTTGAACAGAGAAAAATGATTATTATTTATATCAAATTCATGACATCTTAGTTGAAGTTGTAATTAAATAAAGTAATTAATTAATATTTCTTAATAATATAACATATGTCAACCACTTGGCCAGTTAGTATTTATTTTCATTTTCGGAAATTTACATACACAGCACCCAATTCTTATGCATTTTCCTATCTCATACCCAAACTCTTATTTTTACAAAATCAGCACCCTACCTATGGATGAAAGTGTGAATTTCACACTTGGAGAGTGGTGAAAAGGTAAGTTGGGTGCTTGATTTGTAAAAATGAGAGTTTAGGTGTGACATAGGTAAATGCATAAGAATTGGGTGCTGTGTATGTAAATTACTCTTTCATTTTTAGTGGTTCCTTCACTACTTTCTTCGGCCTGTCTTCATTCAGTGATCTATTATTTTTCATTGAAAACTTTTTTTAAAGTTTACTTTGGTGCAGCAGCCTTTGATCATTGTCATCATTGTAAAGCTTCTTCTAACAGTGTGATTAAACAAATATTGCATTGAAATATTTAACTTCCATGGACCTTTTCTTAATCTGCACATGGCATGAAATAATTAAAAAAGCTTGTTGAAAGTTCAATCCAAAATTAATTTATTTAAATATCAGTTGCTTAGTCTCCCAAAAATATCTGCCAAATATCAAAATTAGTAGTACTTGAACAAGTGATCACATGTTTAATTAATTTGATTTTTGACTAGTGCTTTTTCTATTCATATATATCAAAATTAGTAGTACTTGAACTAGTGATCACATGAAATTAATATATTTTTCTAGTTTGCATTTCTTATGATAATTAATGTAGTAAAAATAATAACAGTTTTACTTTTACTCGCAAAAATAATGAAATTATGTTATTTGGTTGAGGGTATGGAATAGCCTCTCTAAATGTTGGGGTAAAGCTGCATGTGTGCATTGCATGGACCCCTTCCCAAATTATACATTCATAGGGGACTTAGAGCTCCATGCATTTGGTATGTTTTTCTTTTTAAAAAACATTCAAACATAACACAAATAAAACTCAACACAGCCCACAAAAATAAATAAGGAAATCGGTTCGAATAAAATATATGAGCATCATTTAAATTTACTTTTGGAAGTCAGCTAGAACTTTCAAATAAGAAATAAATTAGCGAGTTTTTCACTCATCAGACAAATTATTTAAACCGAGAAAATGAAAACCAACCAGCTCAATATGAAGCCAAGTATCTATGTCAAGATCAATGATCAGCAACTAAGAATACTATTTAAACCAAAAAATTTCTTTGATAATAAATGAAGATTAGGAGCCATTTGGGATCACTTTTTTTTATTTATTTATTTTTTTTATTGTTGTTTTATTTTGTTTATGTTTCTACTTTAAATGAAATATGTTTGATAGTTGTTTTTAAAATACCCAACATAATGTTTAGGTGTTTTGAATGTCTTTAAAAATAAATTAATTTATTTTTAAAATAAAAAATAAAAACATGCAAAAAATACACCAAACAAACTGAGTTTTATAATAAAATAAAAGGCAAAAATAAAAACACAAGTGATCCCAAACAAACCTAAGATATTGATTACAGCAATTATGCGTCATCCGAGGGCTTCAAGTAGATTAAAACCTTGATCAGTGGATAAATTGCCTTTATTTGTTTGTTATCTTCTAAGAACTTTTATTAGCTTCGATTTTCTTTTTTTCTTCTTCTTTTTTGAATGATGAGAGATAAATCATAGTATGAAGTTTGAAATTTGTGAGTTTGGAGAAACACCTTCTCCTTTCACAACTGTATACTAAGAAAATATATATGTGGAGTGGTCCTCGTAGACACTGTGGCTGATTTAAGAGGTTTTACTGCTCCGTGGCCAGGGTTAGCTTTTCTTATTTTCCTAAAACCATTATATACTTAGATTGTACATATATATTTGTATATCTGCTCATATATATACTTGAATGTTTCGGTAACTATAATTAGAGGAATTAATATATAAGAAACTTATTCCACGTTAGAGTTTTTTAAGTTATTTTTTCTCACAAGGCATCAAAAGAAGATGTAGTAAATCTATTAGGATGACTCTTAGACGTATATTAATTAGTAGTTTGCCCACGACAAGTGAGGCCAGCTTACCCCCTTGTGATTAAAGTGGTTTTCTTCATGAACAATTCCATAAAATTGATTGGCATATAAATATGCACCACATGTTAGCAAATCCACGGCACAATTTTTCTTAAAGCTCATAAGCTATTTGGCTTATATGCTGTAACTTCATCAAGGAAGAAAGCCTAAAGAGAATTGCAGATTTTTATTGCAAGTAAGTAATTTTGTCGCTTGTTCTTGAACGACGAAAAAAACTTGATTTGAATTGATTTTAAATAGAAGCTATAATGTATACATGCAGGCCTTGAGCATGACCTTGTGTGTTTTTATTTATTTATTTAGTTTTCTATTGCATTTTGTATGGTTTGTTTTCTTTTGAAAGTGAAAACAAACATGATAATTTATTAATTGAATTGCTCCATTTCCCCCCTGCATTATTAACATTAGTCATTTTTGTTTCTCTTACACTGTTAAGTTGAGTAATTTTTTACCTTATGATGAAAATGCGCTATGCAGACTCCGCTAAATCTTTACTTAAAGTTCCGAGAATTTTACTATATTTTCAGCTGCTCTATAGTTTTATTTATAAGGATGGAGTTGCCTTCTTAAGCTTGTACTGGGGGAATTATGACTCTAGTTCTCTATAATTAAAGCAACATGACATAGTTTGCCATAAATTGGCTGAACCTATATAAAACTCATTGCTTTTATGCATTATTCTTTTCTTTTTCTGTTCTTTTTGGCTTCTTATATTTGAATAGTTTTCTCCTGTTTCCCAGCATGCATATAATGAGAAGTACAAAATGATTGAAGTTTGTGAATCTACTTGAGCAGTGAACCAATTTTTAGGACATTGATTTGACTAGTTGATTTAAGTTTAATATTTAAAGAAATATTGAATATTGCATATGTCAAATTTTAATTCAATTGTATATATATCAAAGCTATGATGAAACTGTATAAGATGATAAAAGATTCAAAAGTAAAAGAGGACCAAATAAAACAAGAAGAGGGAGGAACAATTGATTATACCCAGCATCAAATGAGCAAAAGGCTGTGTTCGTCCCTTCCAAATCAAAGAATTGCAAGATTATCTCAGTCCGATCATTTCGTTGGAAAAGACAGACATAGCAAGGTCAGTACCATAAAAGGATTACGAGATCGGCGTGTTCGATTATCGATTCCCACTGCAATACAAGTATACGATCTGCAAGACAAGCTCGGTCTTAATCAACCAAGCAAAGTTGTTGACTGGTTGATCAATGCGGCTCAAAATGAAATCGATAAGCTCCTTCCCGAACCACTTTTACCTTCAGGAAACAGCTTCATCCAATTTCCTCAAACTGATTTAAACAGCAACAGCATCAGAGCTCAAGCATTCAGTGCTAATGCTGACCCTTTCATGCTTATAAGCAACAATTATGTTGATGACATAACATCATTTCCGAAACCAACATTGAATTCATTCCATTCATATTATCAAATGGATCCATATGCATCTCATGTTGGTAATAACCATTCTTCCCAAGAAGTATTTTCGAATGATTTCCACTTGGCTTCAGCATCATCATCGTTGTCGTCCTCCCTCACGTCGATGCCGGCAGAAACTCAAATTGTGATGCCATCATCGTTCTCGTCCTACTTGACTGGCACGAATAGCATCCAAACTCCAAGCACATTCGCTGAGCTTCTCCCATGGAATTCTTCGAGCATCAACTTTAAGCAGTATGTTCAACAAGATGAAGCAGCTCGGCAGCTCGTCAACTCAACAGTTTATAAGGATTCTGGTGCAGGTTATGGGAGCAGTGCTGCTGATTTCTTTTAGAGGAGAGGAAGAAAAAAATATATATTTTATTTAATGTTTGACTGGTCAATATTGTAATGTTTTATATTGTTTGCTATTGTTTATTTGTAGTGTGCAATTTCTTTAGTTAATCTTGTTTGATTAAGAACTGCTTTGTATGTGGATGGTTGCAGAGTATTAATATGGTATCAAATGCTTTTTAAGTGCCATTTTTAGTACTTCCAGGTTTTTCATCACTGTGTCTGTATTTGTTTTTCATATATAGGATTGTTTTAATGTTATTTTTATTCTTGTGGACTTTAGTGTAAGATTCAATTAGTGATAACTGTTTATTTACTAGTAGCAAAAGTAATTAGTTAAATTGAAAAGGAGAGAAATTTATAAGGCTTGAAATAAAGCGAAATTTACATGCATATTGTTGTAAATCTTGCCCCGCTGAACACCAAGAGATAATTCCAAAGAACTCCTACAGTTGAACTACTCTTGATCATCAAGAACACCAAGAACATGCAATGCTTTAAAGAACTGGACAGCCTTTCAGTTCTTGTAGCAGGTTGTAGCCAAAGATGAAGGAAAAACAAAACCAGAGCAAGCAAGAAAACGAAAAAATGTTGAGAACTAAATAAACAAAAGAACACCAAGAACACCCAAAGAATTACGTGGTTCGTTCCATAGACTTATATCCATGGGAGGGAATCAACAATCAAATCAGTAAGACAATACAGAAGTCTTTTTACATTGAGGAATGTACATTGAGGAATGAGCAATCCTCTTGATCTCTCTCTCCCTCGAAACTATCTCGATACAAGATCTCAAGACCCCTCAATTCTTGAAGCATCTCCCCTTCTTCTTCTTGGAATGATTCTTTTCCTCTTCTTTGTGGTTCACACACCTCTCTATAAGCCTCCCTCATCTATTTATAACAAGATGAGTCACTCCCAAGTATACTTGGTTCACTCTAGAAGCTTCTAGGAAAATCACAAGTTTGTCATTGTCTTAGTTAACCAATTGAGAGTCATATAACAATTCTCCACCTTGACTCTAAATTAAAAAACTTCATAATAGAGATTCCGTCCACCTTGCCCCGAGGGGCCCTTGCCCTTGGTTGAGTTTACTAAGTCCAGACAGTTCTTGAACTTAGCAATTACAGTTCTTCTGATTAGAGAGTATACTCCCTTTTTCTTGACTCCTTTCATGATGATAAGAGAACCTTTAATTACTCTGATATGTTCATTTTCCACTTTGCAAGAGTATCCGCTTTAATCCAACGTACTTAAAGAAATTAAATTTCTTTTGAGCTCTGGTACGCACCTAATGTTTTGCAGTATTCTTTCAGCTTCATCAAACATCCTTAACCTGATTGTCCCACTGCCAACAACTTTGTGAGCTTTGTTGTCTCCAAGCAATACTGATCCACCGTTGACCTGTTGGAGTTTCTCGACCCATTCTTTATGAGGACACATATGGAATGAACAACCTGAATCAAGAATCCACTCTTTGCTTGATTCAGTCTCAGTAATTACCAAAGAACCAACTGAATCGTAGTCATCAGAGACGACACTTGCTTCTCCTGATTCTTTTGATTTTTCTTGATATTTATTCATCCTGTCAGGACAGTTCCTCTTAAAGTGATCGTCCTTGTGACAATGATAACACTTGAAGGATCTCTTTGATGACTGATTTCCACCCTCATTTCTTGATCTTGATATTTTATGATCGTTTCATGAATCCTTCTTGTCTAATCTTAGGTGGATCATTAAATAATATAAGCTTACAAATTCCCCCCCCCCCCCCCCCTCTCTCTCTCTCTCTTATTGAACAACAATATAGTTACTTGCACACTTACTAGTTACATAATGTGCACACTTACACGCTACGTACATAGTGATTGAGGGTGTAGTTTTTCACTGAAAAATCACGCATATTATATTTTGGTATATCTTTCCCAAAAAAATTATGTGTAACGTGCAACTTCTGTGCATGATATTTAATAACTAACTATGAATCAGATCCAAAACTCTATAGTGAAACTATGAACGAGAAAATTATAGAAAATAGTTACCAACTTGCTAGTTAATTTCAGCATGCAAAGTCTAGAAAAAAATAAAAATGGCATTCCCACACAGTCACTTGTTGCTTGTAAACATGAAGAGTTGAGGAAAGCTACTGTTCTTTTCTAAACACAAATCATTATCCAAGGTGACCAACAACAGTGTGTGTGTGTCTATATATATATATATATATATATATATATATATAGTTGTTCACGAACAACTTGTGTTCGGCTCATTAAGAAACTCATGTTTGATTTGTTTGCTAAGTTAGCAAGCCGAATACGAACACTTCTTTATGCTTGATATATAAATGTGCCCAACAAGAACAAAGATTTGATTTGTTTGATTTGTTCGTGTTTAGTTCGTTTTTGGCTCGAAATACTATTCATCAATATAT